AGAACGACAAGTCAAGAAATGAAGAAAGTAACAGATTAACTAGTTAACAAATAGATATTACAAGTTATAGTTATAAATTAACAAATTTAGTATTTTATGCCTTATATTTGTAACATCGAATTGCATTTTGTATATAGTAAATTTTTTATATAGTATTTTTTGCAGAGTACAACTTGAAAATTAGAAAATTGTCAAAATAATTTTCTCGATAACATCGATTTTTTATCGAATTAACTATCCCTCTCGACAGGTTCCTATCATCAGATCGTTGCCGAAATTTATACAACAAATTGAATTTGTCTCACGAGTCTACCCTTAAAATTTCAAGTCAAAAGACCCAAAATTGTGACCCACAGCGCGCAGACAAACAAACAGATAAACGAACAAATAGAGTCGACCCAGAAACCTGCGAAAATTAATATTCTTAATTTTTAATATCCTGTACGATAAGCGTCTTCGTAAATACGTGTTCTATTAGGGTTTCACGAGAAATTTGATTTTCAACGAAGCTACTAACGTTTCATAGAGGTAGGTAGGCTTTAGTGGTCGAGGTCGGCCTTGATCAGACATGGCTGACCATATCCTTGCTTTTACTACTCACGTTAGAAGCAAGCGACCACAGCGTTCACCCTTGAGAGTGCTCCCCTGTTTTGCCACAAAGTGGAACACGTATCCCCAGTGTTTATAAAGCCAGAACAAAAGTGGAACAATGCCATAACATAGGAAACTATTGTTGTTTTGTTTATTGTGCAGCAGTCAGGTTAGTGGAACACGCTGAACAAAGCGGTTTTCAAACGCAAATCGAATTGAAAACTATTTCATTCAATAATAGATGGATTGAACTACTTACATTCTTTGATTCTTAATTGTACTCAATTTTTAATTATCGAGTATATAAAATTCCATGTTATTAGATTTTCAGATTTTTGGGTTTTGAAGTTTTTCAAAATCTTCAAATTTTAGTTTCAAAAAATTTCTAAATTCTAAATCTTCAGATCTTAAATCTTAAATCTTAGATCTCTAAATGTATAAATTTCAAAATTTCTAAGAACTCAAATTTCCAAATCCTGTATTCTCAAGTCTTCTCCAAATCAATTCTTTCTAAATCCTCGAACTCTTTTCCATAATCCCCGAATTCCGAAATTTCTAAAATCCTATACTCTCAAGTTTTTCAACCCTAACTCCCGTAATCCTTAGAACAAGAACCTCTAAATTCCCAAATCCCTAAATCATAACCTTGAACGTCCAAATCCCAAAATCCCCATATAAAAAATCGAATACCTAAGTCCCTAACCCTTCCAAATTCGATTCTACAATATAGGTGTCCATCTCTGAAATTGCTGATCATGTAACTTGAAAGTTCGTAACTGGAAATGGAAATTCTCGTTCCACATCCTCTAGAATTCGGAGCGCGTGGTCGAAGAATTTCGAGTACCTCCACGTAACTTCGTAAACTGCCTCTTTGACTTTCTAATTTTCTAACCTCACAAAGGCATCATGATTCGACGTAACTTCGTGTACGCTTCTAAAAATATCGTTGCCGAAATTCTCGTTGAGACGAAGGTGCTCAATGCAGAGAGGCTTATGATACAAAAGCGACCCTTTATCTCCACCTGCGTCGGTTTCTGATCGGTCGAGCTTGAAATCGAGATACGACACAGTCTTGTAAACTATTCGCTTAGGTTCTCGCGAACGAATGCATAACGATACCTTGAACGATCAGTATTTGGCAGAAGTTCAAAGTCTTGCGCGGGTCGTCGGGTAGACGAGTTCGTTCGCTGAATAAGCATGCTTCGATTCGAGACGTAAACGTTGTATCGATGTTGGGTGAAATGCAGTCTTTAGTGAGTTATGGCTATGACCTAATAAATGTATGAATATATATAATAATTGTGTCTAATAGAGTGTATGTAATAAATGTATGTGGTAACTGAATATAATAAATGTAACTATTAAATGTATTTAACACGAGTATCAAATAAATGTATCTAATAGAATGTATGTAATAAATATATGCAGTAGCTGAATATAATAAATGTAACTATTAAATGTATTTAACACGAGTATCAAATAAATGTATCTAATAGAATGTATGTAATAAATATGTGCAGTAACTGAATATAATAAATGTAACTATTAAGTGTATTTAACATGTGTATGAAATAAATATGTCTAATAGAATGTACGTAATAAATGTATGTGGTAACTGAATACAATCAATGTATCATTTAAATGTATCTAACATGTGTATGAAATAAAAGTATCTAATAAAATGTATGTAATAAATATATGCAGTAACTGAATACGATAAATGTACTTATTGAATGTATCTAACATGTGTATCAAATAAACGCATTTAATAAATGTGTCTAATAAGTGCTCGAAATAAATAAATATTGAATAAGTATATCTAACGAAGAGTATGTAATAAATGTATCTAGTAAATGAATGCAAAAAATGCATCTAATAAATGCATTTCATAAATGCATTGAATAAACATATCTAGCAACCATATCTAGCGACTGCGTTTAACAAGTGCATCTGATAGGTGCATCTAACAAATAAATAGAGGACATGTGTCTCGTAAATGAATGCAACAAATGTGCTTAACAAATGCAGTTAATAAATGCATCTAATAAATGTATCTACTAGATCAGTCTGATTAGTAATAACAAATGTCTAACAAATGCAGTTACTAAATTCGTATAAAAGGTAGTAATCAATGTATCTAACAAATGTACCTATCAAATCAGTTCAATAAGTAGTAATAAATACATCTCATAGATATATGTACAAAATCAGTCTAATAGGTAGTAATAAATGCATCTAATCAATATACCTACGAAATCAGTTTGACAAGTAGTAATGAACGTATCTAATCAATACATCTACCAAATCAGTCTGATAAGTGTATCTAATAAATGTATCTAATGAATATACCTACCAAATCAGTCCAATAAGTAAAAATTAACGTATCTAATCAATATACGTACCAAATCAGTGTAACCAGTAGTAATAAACATATCTAATCAATATACCTACCAAATCAGTTTGACAAGTAGTAATGAACGTATCTAATCTATATATCTACCAAATCAGTCTGACAAGTGTATCTAATAAATGTATCTAATGAATATACCTACCAAATCAGTCCAATAAGTAAAAATTAACGTATCTAATCAATATACGTATCAAATCAGTTTGACAAGTAGTAATGAACGTATCTAATCTATACACCTACCAAATCACTCTGACAAGTGTATCTAATAAATGTATCTAATGAATGTAGGATGGGAGCAAGAAGATTAGACAACGGATTAAAGTAATAGTAGAAATTTAATAATTTGGAAGGAATACACAAAATTAAAGTTTATGATTATAGTTAACGTTTCCACGGTTCGGTCAAGACTCTCTCGCTTTCGACGCTGTCGCGCTTTTATATATTATATAATTCGCACTCTTTTGTTTCACACACACTCATACCACGCAAAAATTAATCGCCCTTTACCGAATCCCACATGAATATACCTGCCAAATCAGTCCAATAAGTCAAAATAAACGTATCTAATCAATACACCTACCAAATCAGTTTGACAAGTAGTAATAAACGTATCTAATTAATATACCTACCAAACCAGTCTAACAAGTAGTAACAAACGTATCTAATTAATATACCTCCCTAATCAGTCTAACAAATAATAATAAATACACCTAATAAATATACCTTCAAACGAGTCTAACAAATATAAAATATGCCTAATAATAAATTTATTAAAAAATTGCATTTGAACAAGAATTATCCAAGACCAACACCGTCAACGTTATTCCCCGAAATTTAGTTTGAAATTTGTTGCATTTGTATGATACCGTAGTTTCATGGGAGAATTTATTTCGTGAAAGAGTAACGTGCAATGGGAAGCGAGCGTTTCACCGTTAAATAATAACGCTACAAATGAACCTCACGCGGCGCGTAATTGTGATTCGTTTGTCGCGTTGCCATTGACCGAAATGTCCAAATGAATTGGACAGTTTCGTACGTGGAATTTCCCTTGTTTCAAATAAAAAAAAAAATACTATGTGGATTAACGAGTACAAACGGATGATTAAAGCAGCTCATTGCTGTTATGTTCCTGTAACGTGTGTCGTTATTTTATATACTGCAGAATTCAAAGAGCAGAAACGGTGATTTGATAATGGTCTTTCGATTCTTTTTGATGGATCGGGTGGAAATATGATTACTTGGGGAGTTTTTAGGGATAATTGGGGATTGCGGGATTCAGGTACCTTGGGGCTTTAGAATTTTGGTATTGTGCAAGTTTGGAATTTCGGAAATTTTGGGATTCTGCAATTTTGGAAATTTTGGAAATTCTGGAAATTCTGGAATTTTGGGAATTTGGAATCTTGGAATTTTGGAATTTTGGAAATTTTGGGATTCTGCAATTTTGGAAATTTGTGAAATTTTGGGATTCTGGAATTTTGGGAATTTGGAACCTTGGCATTTTGGAATTTTGGAAATTTGGTAATTTGGAATTTTGCAATTTTAGAACCTTGGAATTTTGGAAATTTTGGGATTCTGGAATTTTGGAAATTTGGAATCTTGGAATTATGGAATTATGGAATTATGGAATTTTGGAATTTTGGTAATTTGGAATTTTGGAATTTTAGAACCTTGGAATTTTGGAAATTCTGGAATTATGGAATTTTAGAAATTTTGGAAATTTGTGAAATCTTGGGATTTTGGAATTTTGGAAATTCGGAAATTTGAAATCTTGGAATGTTGGAATTTTGGAAATTTTGGAATTGTGTAACGCATAAATAAATTATTTTGAAGTATCTTATTTAACCACTCATAAAACAACGATTGTTTAAAAAAAAAACAGAATCGATTCATATAAAAATTCTTTGACTCCCAAAAAGAGGTTATATGATCTTTTTGAAAGTGTACCACATTAAATGAGATTTTATGTGTTTTCAGTAACACGTTCGTTCGTATGTTTCAGGTCGTAACCGGAAATTATGAGGTGGCTGTGGATTATCGTGCTAATAGCTCTGGCGCTGCCAGCGGCCGTGCCACGGAAGACACATCGCAATAAACCAAGTAAAGTATCGTTTATTTCAATTGCTTCGATTTCCTTCCATCCAGTTTCTCGTTCTCAGAAAACGACTTCTGGTTGCGAAACTATGCTCAATGGGAAATGGTACAATCTTTGCAAACAGGAGCGCGTGACTTGGTCGTCAAATTTGTATTGATTTGATGTGGATACTTAGAGGTTTAGAAATTTTAGAATTTGGGGAATTAGAAATTTTAGAATTTGAGGTTTTAGGAAATTTGATGATGAAGTGTTTGATTTAGGAATTTTTGGATTTGAAGAAATTTTGGAATCTGAGAATTTTGGAATTCGAGAATTTTTGGAATTTGAGAATTTTGGAATTGGAGAATTGCGGAATTAGAGAAATTTGGAATTTGAGAAATTTGGAATTTGAGAAATTTGGAAATTGAGAAATTCGGAATTTGAGAAATTTGAAATTTGAGAAATTTGGAATTTGAGAGATTTGGAATTTGAGAAATTTGGAATTTGAGAAATTTGGAATTTGAGAATTTTGGAATTTGAGAAGTTTGGAATTTGAGAATTTTGGAATTTGAGAAGTTTGGAATTTGAGAATTTTGGAATTTGAGAAGTTTGGAATTTGAGAATTTTGGAATTTGAGAAGTTTGGAATTTGAGAATTTTGGAATTTGAGAAGTTTGGAATTTGAGAATTTTGGAATTTGAGAAGTTTGGAATTTGAGAATTTTGGAATTTGAGAAGTTTGGAATTTGAGAATTTTGGAATTTGAGAAGTTTGGAATTTGAGAATTTTGGAATTTGAGAAATTTGGAATTTGAGAAATTTGGAATTTGAGATATTCGGAATTTGAGAAATTTGGAATTTGAGAATTTTGGAATTTGAGAAATTTGGAATTTGAGAAATTTGGAATTTGAGATATTCGGAATTTGAGAAATTTGGAATTTGAGAAATTTGGAATTTGAGAAATTTGGAATTTGAGAATTTTGGAATTTGAAAAATTTGGAATTTGAAAAATTTGGAATTTGAGAAATTTGGAATTTGACAATTTCGAAATTTGATAATTTTGGATTTTGGTAATTTTGGAATTTGTAAATTTTGAAATTTGAAAAATAGTTATTCGTATTGAGTATTGAAAATACACAATCACAATTATTTAAAAGTGACCGTACCCCATATAAAGCACTACACCATACATGGTCATTTTCTTCTGTATCAAAAATCATAACTACGTATGCACCTTTACACATCCCTTTAACTACCGCAAATACGAAAAAATATTTCACACAAAAGTTGTATGACTGCACATTTATCGCCACGTTTCCGTAAACAACCAACATATAAAATAACATCTAGTATTTTTTACGAGTTTCCATGATACGACAGGTATACCGAAGTTTCAAAAGTCGAACGTTCATTATGTGCACCTGTTACGACGCCTCTAAACTTCATTCGTCCCTAATTTTGGGACCCGGAAAAAGTATGGATATAAAGCTGACAGAAACAATGCCGGTAGCTTTGTGAGTTCAGTGACTCGGAGAATTTCATAATCTGCGAGTCAAATTTATACAGTGGAACGGGCACGGAGATGAGAAACGTATCGCGAACTTCCTTGCAGAAAAAGCTATGGCGTGCATTTTTCGTGTTGCTTTTAAACAAACTTCCCGCAGAGTCAATTTATCCCTCAATATTAAAATTGGAAATTTGTTTTCGTTAACTATTAAACGATACGGTTGAATAACATCGAATTATACAACGAATATATAACGAAGTATAACAGAATATTTTTAATCCCTGGTAGAGGTGATTAAATGGAACACGTAAATGTATACAACCATGTTGTTCTTTTATTATTTATTCTTTCCAATATAAAATTTGCATGTTTGTGAAAAAGACCATGAAGAATAACGTAGACTGTTTTCATTTTAACGAACCTTTTTATAATTAGATTTTTGTGAGTGTGTAATATTCATTTATCGTTTAATAGCAGTTAAAAATGGAAAGGAAAAATATGTGTTATCAAGGGTTTTTTAATTCAACATATAGTAATTCAATGTGTGGTGATATAACAAGTAGCCATATAACGCGTGGTGATCCAACATATAGTAATTCAATGTGTGGTGATATAGCAAGTGGCGATATAACGCGAGGTGATCCGATACATAATAATTAAGCGCGTGGTGATATAACAAGAGGCGATATAATGCGAGGTAATCCAACGCATAGTAATTCAACGCGTGGTGATATAATAAGTGGCGATATAACGCGCGGTAATCCAACGCATAGGAATTCAACGCGTGGTGATATAATAAGTGGCGATATAACGCGTGGTAATCCAACGCATAGAAATTCAACGCGTGGTGATATAACAAGTGGCGATATAACGCGTGGTAATCCAACACATAATAATTCATCGCGTGGTGATATAACAAGTGGCGATATAACGCGTGGTAATCCAAAACATAGTAATTCAACGCGTGGCGATATAACGCGTAGAAGTTTAACACCTTAAAATTTTAACGTGTGGCGATATGACGCGTAATATTTCACCGTGCGGCGATATAACACAAAGTAATTCAACGCATGCAATATATAATGTGTAGTTATTCAATGCGTGGCAATATAACACGTAGTAATTCTATCTGTCCTTATCTAACTCATAATAATTCAACACATAGCAATTTAATGTGTGGCGATATAACACGTGATAACTTAGCGTATAAATAAATCCACATTTACCGGTTTACGTCAATACCCAATAACAACAACAGACAACTATAAAACACGGATACCGCGAAAAAAGGTGTTAAAATTCAACTTTTAATTAGATTCACCTTATTCATTAACAGTTCCTCGGGGTAAACATGACTCTGCACAATAATATAAAAATAAAGTTGCAACTGGGTCAAATCCGGATGGCTAAGAATCATATTAAATTCAAGGAGCTTTTTGCCATCATAATAAAATAGCTACAGGGCGCTCCTAATTAAAAGGGTAGTGCTTTTGTTGCAACATGTCATTTGCTGGTTTCACCTGGAAGAAAATAAAAGTAGCCAAAAGGGAGCAAACAGGTAACAAACACAGCGTCGTTTCCGTTTCACAGTGTTATCTGATCTCAAAAGCCAGTAACGGTATCCTGTATTTTATTTCAGCATACGCTGCGCGAATTTTTCTCTGATTAATGGCGGGAAAAGTTTGAACGATTCCGCCGAAACTGTGACACTAGGCACATTACTCATGTCACGCTTCGCTAACTTTACCCATGGGTCGAATACGGATTCCGAATTTCTTTCGGTGCTGGGACTCGATCGACAGTTACCTCGAAATCTTTCGATTACTATCGAAACTTCTTGTTACTTTTATCCCCCTTTTCTTTTTAACGTTTCATTTAACGGGTTCTCTACCAGCATCCACATATGTTCATTATGAGCACTTTTTTATGTAATAGTAACATATGTTCAAAAAATATAATTGTAGATTATAGAAATTTTATATTTGAGATCATATGATAGAATTGATTTTTATCTGCTTGAAAATATATGAAACAATTATGACATATAAATTAATTACCACATATGTGAAATTATTGGAGACACATGTGAACATACATATGTTTTTCGTAGTATTTATTATCATTTTGTTGCTGTTCACTTACGTTTGATAAAATAAAAAAATTTCCTTGTATATTATATAATTGTATATTATGGTCAACTATTATAAAAACTTAGTATAATTTCTAGTCAAATATAAAAATCGATCAAACGTCATAAAATGAAAGTTAAACGAGGAGAACATAAAACACGAAAAGTTATGTCAAATTAACATGAAAAGGTTTGAAAATGAAGTGGTCCGAATGTACTCCAACATAGTCGATATTCCTATGAATATTAGAGTTACGGTGATCCGTCGAATTATCAGGGATTACCAATGGATAAATCGAGCCGGAAATGATCGGATCTGCATCGTCGTTTGTAGGCAAGTAGCGTAGGGTAATCAACGATAGAGTTGATCTCCTTGTAAATTAGTCGTGAACCTGATTTATTGGCCGAGCTACGAGTGTCGAGGGGATCAGATGTTATCCACTCGTGTGTCCTGATAAAATCTCTGTCCCCGAACGATCTCTGACCCTAATTTAACATTTCGACCTGCCCCCGGCCACAAACTTTAGCCAGAGTGAATAGCCCGCTCGAGAGGCTCTGACTTGAACACCCCGTTCCTACTTACAGGCTCGAAACAAACTTCAGGGAATTATTCATCGCTCTGCGACGTTTATCTTTCACCCAACTGGGACAATTGTTCCTCGAACAAATGTAGAAATTTTGATGAAAATCGAACGACGATGTTCCAATCGTTAATCGACAAGTTCTTAGATGCTTCCCCTTTAACCTCTTCATTGCGATAGTATGTATCGCACATTTCGTGAAAGACGTGTATGTACGCTCTCGCACATTTATTGTGTGAAAGATGTATACACATACTCTCATACAAGATGTATTCTCATACAAGATGTACTCTCATACATTCATTAATGTATAATATATATGAAGGACGTACATATATGTACTTCCATAGATTGAAGTATGTTTATACATGATCTCATACATCTGATAACATACGATGCATATGTATACATATGTGACCTCATGCATTCATATGAAATACGTGTACACACAATCATGTATGCTTACTAATATTTGTGTACGTATGTGAATAAAGTGTATACATAGTCATACATTCATCAACATAAATGAGAGACGAGTGTACCTCATACGTTCATTAACATGTGAAATACGTGTATTTACATGTACTCATATATGTATTTATTAATATTTTTATTTGCGAATTATGCGTTCTCATATATATTAATATACATGGAAAACTCACTGTAATATTACACACCCTAATAATTTACCTCGAATTGTTACTTTAACAAGCTGGTATCACATAACAATTAGCCGTTCTATTATATTACCACGCATTACATATGTTATGTTACCACGCATTCAAATACTATAATTTTATTTCTATCTCATTCAAACTGAATATGAATTTTACTGAAATGAAATCCACGTAATGTTATTAATATTTTATTGAAATAAAATAACGTAATATTATTAATAATTCACTGAAATAAAATAAACGTAATTTTATCCAAACCAGTAATTTTATTTTTAGTTTATCGAAGTAAAATGTTAACACAATTTTATCAATAACCTATCGAAATAAAATAACCATTTTTTTTTTATAACAAATACACATTATTTTGATAAATATAATTAATTTTAAAGTACGCGTGTAGTTGAGGTAACTACGTATTCGCTCTTAATTAATAGTTCGTGCATTTTATCGCAGATTTCAGCACGAGCATGTCGCTAATAAAAACGTGACGAAAATTTTGAGAGCAGCCGACTTCTATCTTGGAAATTTTAAGCTGCTATTTTTTTAAATTGTTCGCCCATTCGTACAACCCTTTCGCTCAGAGTAAATTTGGCACGAATATACGATGCATTAAGTTTCTTTTATTATAATGCACGTAACAATTTTTCCCTCTCACGTACTTCACTTCTGCCATTAAATTTCGCATCACCATCAACCATCGGTTTACTCATTTACTCTCGCGGTTTTAATGGATATTTTATTTCAAATATCCATTCTTAGAATTAATAAAAGCCTGAAAGCATTCGATCGTAAAACTTGAGATGCGTCGAAATTACACAGAAATTGCTCGAATTTACGATTTCTTGCTTTCTGACACGTTCCTGAATGTTATGTTTTGTTAACATTTTAATCTTCAAATTCACAATTTTACCAATAGTAATATACAATTTTTCAAATTCATAAAAGTTCCCAAAAAGAGTAGGCACTTTTTTAAAACTTGCTATATAAAATTGAAACATCCACATATGAATGTTCGAACAAAGTGTTAACTAGAAGTCCACATCAAACCCCATATCCCTGCGTCACAAAAGCACGTTAAAAATAAAACGCGCCGTGAGTTATTTTCAGCGCACAAGAATCGAATTTGCTTTCCATGTCCATGTGTTATAAAAAGGATTTTCTTTTGGGCGGAAATCTTGTCGCGTGCGATCTGGGAGCATTGTTTCTCCTTCCGGTGTATCGACATTCGCAGAAAAATGCACGGTTGAAACGGTCCCGTATACGCTATTACGAGAAACGCATTTCCCTGGCGCGGTCTCGTGGCAGAAAATTCCACGTCCTCTTTACCTCGATGGCATAAGGATCGAGAGAAGGGTAAAGGGTATGAAAATAGAATGTTATTGCCCGTTTGGACGCAGCGACGCTGTCGATATTCCGCTTTAAAGCGGATACTTGCACCGCGGAAAAAGGAAACGGATGGGATGAGAAGGAAATGGAGCAACGCTCGAGGAGAGGCAGCAGGACTTTTATTGACAAGGAATATCGGTTATCGAGACGTTGTTGAGAGGAACGGTTTGCCTTTGCTTTCAGCACCGAGGTTGTACGGGGACAGGGTGCCTGTCAGCCTAATAAGGACGAGCAGCAGCAAGGTCCGACAGAAGATCGTCGATACCCACAACTATTTTCGCACGCAGGTCAAACCACCGGCTGCTAACATGCTGGTTATGGTAAGTATTTCAGTCTACTTTTTATAAATTTCACTGCACTTTGAATTCTCTACACTCGAAGGTATTTTTAGAGTTGGCAGATAGCAATGAAATTAAGTTGACAAATGCATTCTTTTGAAGTTATTTCTCTGCTATTTTCAGTGGCTTGTTTCAAGTGTTTATACTTCACATGTATGGTACTCTAGATTTAATTAAAAAATATTTCACAAGTTAAAGTATTTTTCAAGTTAAACGTTATGAATCACCTTTTGAGTGCAAAGGATTAAAGTATGTGTACTTATGAAGGTACAGTAACGTCCATATGTGAAGGGACACATAAGGTTTACTTCATGCAAAGTGATCGTGTGTTCCAATACATAACACAGTATTTTTAATAAATACTTGAGGTACTTTTATTTACTTGAATGATTGTCTAGGTTGATGGTTAAATGGTCATTAGCCCCAAAACTTAAATACTGAAATTTAATTTATGAAGTTAGGATTGAATTATGAAGCTAAATGCAGAATTGTATTATGACATTAAATACTTTATAAAATTTTGAGTAATATTATGAAGTTAAATACTTCATAAAATTCTGAGTTATATTATGAAGTTAAATAGATGAATTGTGAATTGAATTATGAAGATATATACATATATTTGTATATAACAATTCACTGATATTTTGACACCAATTAAATATACTTCCTTTAATTCAATTTTTGTAGTTATGAACACTAAAAATTTAAAGTGGATTGTTAGAAAAAATTGTAATTTATATATCTATACTGTGGAGTGTGGAATTATTTGTAAATAGTTGTCAATATTGTGTTTGAGAGAATCGATTGTAAATAGTTGTGAATGTTGTGTTCGAGAGTTATCGATATGTTTAAAAATTGATAGCGAGACAAAGATGCGAGGAGAAAAAAACGGCAATCTCTGGGCGAAAGACGTTTCGAGAAAGTTGTCGAGAACGAATAGAAATACGAGAAAGTTGTCGAGAACAATTAGAAATAGCGTTTGAGTGTATTAATTTCGTTAAAAACAGTTAATTAAAAGTTTTGTTGTTATCCGTGTTAGTTTCGTTTGTTAAAAATAAATTGTTTTGTGTGTTTTGTTAAAACCTTTGATTTAATTTTTACAATATGAATTATTCATTTTATATACTGAACTTCAGAGACTCCTTTTAGAAATAATACGAATAATAAAAATGCAAGATATGCATACAATATATTACAATAAAATTCATAAACAGGATAACCAAAGTAACGAGAAGTAAAAACGGTGTTACACAGCGAAAAAATATAAAAGTCTCGATAAAAAACGTTGGCACACCCTCCGTCGCTTATTTGCGTTTTTAACGATAAAAGAACGCGTTATAAAAGAAACGCTGTATCAATGTAATAAAGTACGTAGAAAACAAGCGTCCGGAATAAAACTCCATACAATTCCTAGTATCTATGACACTAGAAGCAGCTATCAGCGTAATTACATAGTAACATTATCCTGAGAACAGTGCACAATTACCATAATCCATTCCGCAATGGACGACCTATTAAAGCTACTGCGACTTTAAACCTTTGTAATACTTACAAAATTAGGTATTATTCTGATACGAACGCATGATACAAGAAACTTTAACCTTTAATACAACGATATGGATAAAATAATAGGTACTTTCGTTCCGAAACTACAATTTTCTACAGAAACTACAATTTTCTAAAGAAACTACAACTTTCCAAAGAAACTACAATTTTCTTTAAAAAATTATAGTTCGAATATTTCGTTATTTCTCTCCGCTCTCGAAAAACTTTGGGAATCCAGTTCGTGCAATATACGGTTTAAAAAACCCAAATATTTTTCCGCTACGAAAGCTTCATATTGAAGCCGGAATCTTATCCTTTAATACAGTGTTCCTCTCACGTCGATACGATTTTTCGTTTCCGAGATATCGTCGCTTAAAGCGAACTATAGTTCCGTGTGGTACGCTATTCGCCTTTATATTCGCGAGCTAGGATTTTCGAACAAAGTTAACTATTTCTCTAATAGGAAAAGCTTTATACGGAATTTAGAAGTCCGCTTCGTAATCAAGTTCCAGTTTTATGCCGGTACGGTATTTCGTTTCGAAGATACGGTTCCTCGAACGGAATTATTATATTTTCACCTCTCACTTCCATCTCCGCTTTTTCTCAAAAGAGTTCAAATTTTTTTATTTTGAGAACAATGCACGTAAGGTAGAACTTGTTCTATTTTCATTAGGAATATAGTGCTTTTGGAGATATAGAGATTTTTGAGATATTGGAACTTCATGGAGATTAAGGGAATTTTAGGGAATAGCAGAAATGAGGATGTAGAGGAATTGGGATCTAGGGGAATAGGGATTTAGAAGATTGTGGATTTAGCAAAATATGAGTCTAGGGGAATGTGGATCTAGGGCAATGTGGATCTAGGAAAATATGGGTCTAGAGGAATATGCATTTAGGGGACTATGGACCTAGGGAAGTGGAACCTAGGGGAATCGGAATCTAGGAGAATATAGATCTAGGGGAATTGGAATCTAAAGGAATTGGGATACAGAGCAATCTAGGGATCTAGGGGAATGTAGGGATTTAGAGATCTAGAGGAATCTGGGAATCTAGCAATCTAGGAGAATCTAAGGATCTAGAGGAATCTGGGGACCTAGGAATCTATGAGAATCTAAAGATCTAGGTGAATCTGGGGACCTAGGAATCTGGGAGAATCTAAGGATCTAAGGAATGTAGGGATCTAGGGGAATTCGGGGATCTTGGTAAATCTAGGGATTTAGAGGAATCTCGAGGTATAGGAGAATCTAGGGATCCAGAGGAATCTTGTAAATGTAGGGGAATCTAGGGATCTAGGACCAATGAAGCTTTAGGGAAATCTAGAAAAATAAAGATCTAGTAGAATGTGGATCTACAGGAATATACAATATAGGAAAATTGGAATCTAAGGGAATAATAATCTAGCTGTTTAGTGACCTAATGATCTAGTAATCAAGAGACGTTGTGATCTAGTGATTTAGTAACTTAGTAATCTATTGACTTAGTGATGTAGTGATCTAGTGATCCAGTGTCCTAGTAATCCTAGTAATCTAATAACATAATGATCGACTAATCTACTAATGCAATCATCTATTTTCCTTTCTCGAGACATCGTAGAAACAAAATCATACATTCGGGCATTCGGTTGTTTTCTCCTTCGCTCGTATATTTGAACATCTTTCTCCCGTTCATAACACTGACCAATCCCAACCTGAAGTCGTATACACTGGCCAGTGACAGATGTTGAATCATCGTTTTTTTACTGTTTTTACTACTACTACCAGCGACGTACGCATTTTGCAGGGGAAAGTAGGTCACACAGGAACCTCGGCCGTCATTCATAAACTGAGCAATTTGAATGACACGATTTCATGCAGTGTATCCTCTGAATCAGAAAAAGCACCGAGACGAAAGAAATTTCATTATGTCAAGTATGTTTCCGTCTGACTTTATCCTTCCTCATTTTATGTACCGTTTATCAAAATTAATTTTATATTTCAGAGATCTGTTCTGTTTGGAAGTTGTAGATGATTGATTAATTTAATACGGAATTCATATTAAAGTTAATTAGTTATACTGATCATATGAAATAATTAATCATATCATTAATTAGATACAGATTTTAAACGACGGTATTGTGTAATTAATATGTTTTGCCTGAACTGATTTCGTTGTAAGCGATACATTTTGTACATATGTGATATGAATGATACACATATGTGTGTGTATGTATGTATGTATGTATTATATGATAAATTCGTTTCATCATTTTGTAGAAGGTGTTAAATCCGTAGCCCGTAAAAATTCATTCGTTTATCAAGATTCGTTGATTATCCTCCAACACCCTTTGCGTTTACGGAACGACTTGTTCAAGCTGCATTCTTTCGTTTCATAGACGTAATTACGCGAACGTAACCCTGAAAGGGGATGTTTCAACCCTCACTCGCCCAGACCTCTTCAACCGCTTTGATGTTCCATCGATTTCACCGGATTCTCCGACGAAATCCAGATAGGAATAGCGGTCGGTAATTTTCGAGCACTCCTCCAGATAAAATCGTCCGAGATTCTTTCGGATTTCTTTTCATGGAAATTACGTTCGATTGCATTTAATGCGATCAATTTCTGCGAAACTCGTTCCAACAAGCTGATGTTAATACATTATTATTTCTTCTCTACGTTCGAATCGGATTTTTGTACCATAAATGGGGGAACGTTAATAGTTTACTAATTGAAAATGATCATTCGGGGCAAATTGATTAAACCGATCTTCGTTTTCGAGTGGAGAAGTTTAACGAAATTGCTCGATTAACATTCTGATCAGATTAGTGAATTAAATGAGTATGTTTATTGAATGAACATTCGGTGCATCCGGATTGTTCGTTAGTGGATGAATTCATTTCTATCATTTCGAAATGAGGATTTTTATTCTTTATTAATATTTTTTTTAGGATGAAAATAATTAGTCCATATTGAGTCGTATTAAGTTCAGAAATTATTGTAATGAAATTCATTTTATATTTGATGCATTTGATACGTTATTTTAAAAAGAATGTAATCAATTTTAATATGTTTTGTTATACATATGCTATACATATGTGTAGACATATGTGTATACATATACTAGTCTTCACACACATATATAAATACTACTATACACATACATACACATATGCACTATACATATATGATGATTGTTGTATAGTATAGTACATATGTATACATATGTGTATACACACATTACTATTCACATACATATACACATACTATTATACACATACACATATTAACACATACATATACACATACGTATACACATACTACTATACACATACACGTACACATACTACTATACATATACACATATTAACACATACATATACATATACGTAAACACATGCTACTATACATATACATATACACATACTATTATACACGTACAGGTACACATACTACTATAC